AAAAATATTTTCGAAAAAATAAAATCATATTTATTTTACTCTACCAATAAAATAGAAATATTAAGATTTTAAAGATAATTTTTTAATTTATATTATTAATATATAATAAATATACCTTAAAATTCGATTTCTATATAGAATAATCTTTTTTTTGAATTTCCATTCATAAGAAGAATAGTTCATTTTCAATATATATATATATATATTCTTAGAAATATCATGAATCTTCCCGGTATATTTCCAATATAAAAAACTATTTATTTTCCTACAAAATTCTATATCTTTATATTTATGTATATTATGAAACTTAAAATATCAAATTTTCTAGCCAAATTAAAACAATAACTATATCTTCATAGAATAACCTTAAAAATCTATATATCGCCAAAAAATACAGAATATATATCTGTTTAATTATATTCATTGCTCTTATGTTCAAATTTTCAATAGATATTCTAAGATTTTTCACCATTACTCCATCCGAAGATTTATTTTCATACGGGTTGTTGTCAAAATCTGTATTGCCGAAATTGACGTTAATATGGCTGTGATTACGTGCCGCTTCATGTGGCAAACAGAAACCAGGCTTAGAAATATGTAGTAAAAAAAATTAGAATTTGGGGGATGCAAGAAGAACGCTAGCGCCTGGACCTTTCAACTACTGCTGTCGGACGGGTTGTCGCTGCTGCTGCAACTGCTACCGCTGGACTCTTGGCACGCTTGCAGAACGTTCCGCTGTCGCTGCTTACGGACTCGAACCCTCACAAGCTTCTCAAGTCCAACTCATACCGCAGGGCTTTGGAGTCGATGGCCTGCACGACCGGGCACCAGATGGAAGAATCGCGCTAGACTCCGTGCTGTCTATAACAACCAGAGACCCCATTCCGAACATTACATGTCAATCTACTCAGGCAATCACACCTTGGCATGCTCAGGCGTTGGTGGTGCGGCTCTGGGTACCAAACATCGCAGGTAGGAGCAATCAGCAGAACCACCAGTGCCGCCTTACTTACTGTTGTTGGGCCTCACGGCCCTGCCGGTACACCCCGTGTGGTGTGCTATGATCCGTACCCTGGCGTGGACGGCGCAGTCGTGATTGAATCCTCTTGTGGATATACACCAAGTTCAGATTATTGTATACTTGGCTTGACAAGGGTTATCCCTTTTCTACATTACTCATACCAGAATGTGTGCTCAGCAACAAGGGGTAAAACCTTGTTTGGTTGATCCATACTTGCTTCAGCATTCCGGTGCCATGCAGAGGCCTCAGTGTTCGCTGAATATGAAGCCCCGGGACCCTTGTGAGCCTAGAGATTCTGTTGCATGCAACGGTCCAGATCTTAGTTCCGCATTACGAGCCTTGCATGACACATGTCTTTCTGTTGAGTTTCGGTTGCAGCTTCGAGTAATTGGTGACCATTTGTTCGCCATGTCACATCGCAAATCCGATCGTTGTGACTCGCGCTCTCACCCATCCAGCCATAGAGTTCGCTCAAGATCTCCCCATCGTGGACGATCTCATCGTGATCACTCTGATTGGGATGCTCGTCGAGTGTTGTTTCCATCGCCAGTGCCTGGAGCCATCGTTCTCGATCCCCTCGCCGTTCTGACAGTCGAGATGCTGCTAGAACAATGGTAACTTATGGTTATGAACATTGTTCGTTGGCTTCGACATTGGAGCATGCACGCGATTTGTCCAGTGAGTGGAGACCTGATGCCATGCATGCTGATTCATCGCTGGTGCGGACTCTTCCTTTTCCTCGCTTTGTCAGCGTCCATGTCTGATTCTCACAAGAAGGGACCCGAACACTACTTTGGATTTCGGCAGCAAGGAGGCAATGATTCTTTTGGTGTGCATTGCCCAACGAAGACCGCACCATTGGAATGTGATATCCGGGGAGGACTCTCTCTTGACGTACCTGCAATGATTGCTTGTGACATACTGGACGTAGTTCATCATGGTTGCTGTAGCCGATATGAAAGTATTCTGGATGGCTGGGGCTAATCCGAGAACCCCTACAGTGAAGATTTCAGTGCTGGTGTCTCTGAGCCACCACATTGCCACGTTTGGAACAAGGGATCTCTCGAGCGACATGCAGTAATCTTCAATCGTCAGCGTTGTCTTTGGCTGTGATGTTTTGGGGTTCAGGCCGGTTGTGGTTTAGGCAGGAAGGTTCAGGTCCCAGGCCATGTTGCCCGCTCTTCACCCTCCGACATTCCTGTCCATGAGGATACAGATCAAAAAGATCCTGATGAGTAGGCACTATGCCTTGGTCATCAGGTCTGGTCTTTGCCTAAATCAAGCCAATCCTAACTTTCTGTGTGTGCGCGCGCCCGTGTGGATGTATGTGCTCGTGTTGTGTATGGGAGTCGAGATATCACTCATTGGCTGCATCCAAGCTTCAAGTGCATGCATGCAACACGGGAGACTGTGACAAGAAGTCCCAAAACCTTTAGAACGCGCGTAGTCCCCTCCTGCCCCAACAGCACGCGCCGCCCTCGCAGCAGCTCTCCAGCAGCAAGGCCAGGGGTGTACCCCAAAAGCGCGCGGCGCCCTCCCGCACCTCTCCCAAAGCAAGGCCATGCAGGCGGCAAAACCCCAAAAGCGCGCACCGCCCTGTGAGAGCAAGGTCAGCATCAGCGCGCGGCAGTAGCAGTGGGCAGCGGCGCAGTGGGGCGGCGGGCAGGATATGATAAAGAAAAACAAGAACCCCACTATGATGTGGGGAAGGAACGACAGAATGATGAAGCATGCCTGTCACTACTTTGTTGAGTGTCGATAGTCGTATCCGACTTCTCACAAAAGGAGGCGTGCGAACATATTACAGCCAGACCTAGTACCGCAAGCTTCCACACGAGGGTGCGACCGCATGCTTTGGCACAGAATGATAAGACACTTGCTGGAAGCAAAAGCAACCAGGAGATGCAGATGCAAGAGATCCCGTGCGGCGAACCTGTTGAGCGATTGTCAATGTCAACATAAGCCTTGTCGCGAGTCCTGGAACCTTTTAGTTTGTGTGAGTCCCAACTGGCACGCCGCCAGCACTTAAACGGTGCGCCGGTGCACGCCGACGTTCGAAAACAAATAAGCGAACGTGTGGAGAAACCGACAACCTTAGAAGGATGCCTACATCTTCGACGCAACTTTCATGTGGCATGGTTGGCTTGTCCCTATACTGACGTCGAGTTTAAGATGCGATCACTCATACCAAATGCTGTCTTAGAAAACCCGGGCAGGCAGCGAGAAAAACAGCAGCTTCAAAGGTCGTATGAGTGCTGCTGGAGCTGCAGTGCTGCTGCTGCTACTGCTGCTGGCGGTGTTCGGTGAAGACGGATTCCGATCATGCGAAGCATTCATGCCGGTTTGCCTCGACAGCGATGTCACGAGGTCCACCAAGATAGAAAGCCATATTTGTACGACAACAGAGCAGGTAAGATTCTCATAATGGTTTTCCTGTCCAGGCTCGTGTACCAAACTTCACACGGCTGCGAACAACAGAAAATATGATAATTCATAATGTAGGACTCTGTCTCGGGCCCCACAGCTACTTTTGGAGGTAGTCTTAGACTTAGCCCAAATCCCGGCCCGCACTGCTTCTCTCCATCTGTTTCCACCCACTGAGCACCAGAACTAAGAGAGGCGCCCGCAGCACGTGTGGAAAGAACCTCGGGTCAGAGAATGTAGCAGTCGCACAACTCAGGGATACTCCCATCTGAAGCGTCAGCCAGTCATTTACATGCACCTAACGGGACACAAAGACTTCCCGACTGATGTCGTTGCACTATGGCCCAATGGCAGATCGTTGTAGAAGCAGCAGGGCGTCAGATGCTGCCGTATGTGTTTCCCCAAAACGGGGCTCGTCAAACAACATTGTCGTCCAACAGCATCACAAGCCGTCAAAGTAGCCATGTGCCACCGACTGGCATTACTATGCTGCCATACATGTCCGTGGTGAAAAGCACTGCTCACCATGGCTAGCGGAGCATAGTTGATATACAGATTTTGTACAATACAGTAAGAAAGCAACGGAGCCTGCTCCGAATGCATGCTGCAGCTGAAATGAACAAGGTGCAGCAGGTGCAGAGCTTTGCAGGTTCCAACTTCAAGCACAAGGTTGAGGGAGTGCTATATCAGAATTACATAAATGCACTGGGAATCTATCCGCCGCCTGGAGAGCTCCGCCGGAGAACGAAAGTTCAGCTCATCAGCGGACTGCAACGAACAGCACTGAGAGCCTGAAACCACGAAAAAGCCCGAGCCCCAGGCTGCACGGCCCGAGCTTGTGGCGTTTGAAAGTCTCCGGTTGCGCCCTGCACCGAACCCTGGAAACCTGGAGCCCTAAACCCTAAAAAACCCTAAACCCTCCGTGGCCACGACGGGTGCGCGCACTGCGCTGGACACACTGGCGCTCCTGCCTTGGGCTTTGCAGGTTTGTTTTGTGGGGAGATGTGAGTTAGCTTCAAAGTTGAAGCTTAAGAAGGCGAAACTAAGTCTTCCAACTAAAGTTACTGGGGTTTAGGGTTCGGGAGCCTGTTTAGATGCTTTACGCTTGAGCTTCGGGCTTCGGGCCGATGGTACACAAGGATGGCTGAATGATATGTCGACCGTAGGTCTAAATCTGCAACACACCTGCCTGCCGAACGATGTTTGCAGACGTTTACGTACACCAGCATTGCTTGCTGAAATACATATGCACATGTATAGGTAAGGAGCTGTGGAATAGAGGTAAAGGCACACAACATGATACAGTTGTTTGTACTTGCAGAACATCGAGTTTTTCGACGTTCAGAACACAGGGAGGCGCAACTCGACGTACTCACTGTCTATACAACTATGGGGATGTCCAGAGTGTGAACTTCCAGCAATGCATGGACGTACGGGCAGCCTTGCACAACCGGCTACGAGGATAAAAGCTTGTCACATCTAGTCACTGCTCGGAAGCCTGCACTGGTACGACCTGTAAGAAAACCTGGAGACAGAAAGCAGCAGAAAAATCCGTTCAGAATACAGTCTTACAGGTAATGGGATAGTCATAGAAGCAGTGCCCATGCGCATGACCTGCACAACGAAGCGCTGCGAGTGAAGCTGCAACTGAACCAAGTCGAAGGCTGATCAGATCATAAAACCTAAACGAAGCGAGAAGTGTACCAAGTCTTTATGTTTCCACTTGCTTCTGCCGCTTCTGCCTGCGGAAGATTTGCTGGCCTCGTTACAACTGAGTCCAGTTGCAACCAGAAGGCTTGCTGTGAAGCAAGGGCTAAAGCGAGCAATATCTTCTCGCAGCAACCTTCTGCTCATGTCTTTTCCACTGCTACTAAATCCTTCTAGCTCTGAAAGCTGAAACCCAGCAACGTGGGGCGCTCGCTTCGAGATGCTGCCGCCAGCTCCTCGTGCAAGGCCTCCACCTCTACCCATCGACACTCGAAAGCCCACAGCTTTGAGAGATCGAGAGGCCGAGCTGCTTACAACCGAGCTTGAGAGGTGCGTGAGATGGAATGGACGATTCTTGGTGCAAGCGCTTGTGAGACTCTTGGAGAAGCAAGACTCTTTGTTGATAACTGGGCGGAAACGCAGGAGACAACCATCTTGGTGTGCAGACAGCAAAGAGTCGCCAAGCACCCACCTCTGCATAGAGGGGTGGCGTGCATTCTGAAAAATGGAGAGCTTGATCCTCAGTTGGCGCAGCTTCAGATCCAACATGCGGATTCACAGCAGGAGGATCCCTTCCGTAAAGCTTACTCTCACAAACGACGATGTAGTGTTTGAGCGATAGTCGCAGAGCCCCCGTCAGTTTTTCCTTGCTTGCATCGGAGCCACTCGGAGGGCCTGCTTCAAGGACTGCTCCTCCACCTGCCGGGTCTGGGCTTCGCGCCTGCCTTCTGAAACTTGTCTTAGATCCTTGCAGGATAGGGGATGAAAACAGGTTTCAAGTTGCATCGGGTGCATGCTGTTGCCAGAATGCTGGAAACACGCCCGTTTTGCAAAGTCAAGTTCTCCTATGGACGAATGACCCCGAGAATGTGAAGACCAAGTAGCTTACAGAACGATGCCTCCAATGCTTCGCAACTTCTGCGCAGCTCAGCGGCTCTTTGGCCCCTGGCCTCACCAGGGTGCGCTTGAGTCGCAGGTCAGACTCAGAAGGCAATAGTACTGTACACGACGCTTCAACAGCTCTAGCAATGAACACGAGATGCTTCTATGCAACCCTTGGGACCTTTGAGGGCTTGAATGAGAAAGGCAGCTCGGAGCTTCCAGGACATCTTGAAAGTGCTGGCCTCCAGCGCTTCTTTGGCCTGCCAAGAGGGCGCAAGGGGTGACTATTTGGCGTTCGAGATTTGGGAGGCTGTCTGACATCTAGCCGTGGCATCTAAAGTTTGCTTATACCCGCAGGCGTAAGAGGGAGGGCCGGGGAGGGCCTCAACATACGGTAGGCTGCTGCGTTTATTTGCCGAGGCAAGGTTGATGCACTCAGCTCTGTAACTGGTAGATCCTGAGCGTGATGTCATGAACCTTGCAGCAAGATTGAGTGAATATGCCATTTGGCGGCAAAGCCTGGATATTGATCAGCCCCGCGATTGCTCATGCCATTACCGATACCTTTCGCTGAAACCCTGTCCTCTTTATCCCTACAAGAAACATGCTTCGCACTTTCAAGCCTGCTGTTCTGCAGCACGGCTGCGCTGAAGTGTCAGGTCGCGATCGCCTGAGGAGGTAGGCTTCCCCTCAGAATGATGTCCCTGGCTGCTCCGAAGTTTAATGCTGCATGTCCGCATATTATATGTACAGAGACACATATGTAACACATATCATATTGTATTTTATATATGTACCCCTATGTATATATCTATCTATGTGGTTCTCCAAGCAAGGCTCTCCAAGCTCTCCAGGACGACACCTCTAAGAAGTCCAAAGTCCCGCAGTTGCGGGACTGCAGCGCGGTTCAAGAATACAGTGTTCAAGGCACCAGGTCCGTGCCCTCTCACACTCGGAAACACAGCCAGGAGGGAGGGGGACGGACCCCCCCCCAATGGTATGGTCTGGTAGGGGTGGTGGGGAGGGGTCGGGGCGGTTGGGTGAGGGGCGGCCCGGGTGAGACAGAGGGCCAGGATCACGCAAACCCGTCGCAAGCCGTAAACATAGAGCGTGTTCCTGTTTGGATTAACTTTTATAACCTATACTTTAAAGCTTACACCCAACCCTAAACCCCGCCTAAAAGCAGACACTAGGCTTGAAGCAAGACATAAACCGTCACCCTAACCAACCTACACCCAAACCCTCCCTAAGCTCAAGTCGACTCGAAGCCTTATACTTTTAACCTGAAGCCCTAAACCCCAAAACCCCACAACCACACCACAGGGGCAAGAGGGACCCCACACCCCAACCGGGGGGGGGGGGGTGACCATATATCCATATAAGTTTCGCAAGTCGGGTTGGATATCAGTAACATTAAAGCCCGTAGAAACCATAACAACAACTATAAAAAAGGGCACTCTCACAAGACCCGGTCTGCAAATCTGCCAGTTACACAGGGGATATTGCGGAACCATCAGTGGTTGCTGCGGCATCTATGTTGCACCCTTTGCTGAGAAATTTCTCCATATCGCACACTTTGACGACTTGAGGCGGGCACTTCGAAGCTTCTCCACACGCATCTGTGCATCCTGCCATGCCAACCCAAGATAGACGAAACCGGAAACCGGGGAAGCCGTTCCTTGTTCATGTCCTACTCCTCGAGCCTTCTTCCGTGTCCGAACGCGTGCATGCCTGGTTGGTTGCGCACCTTCGCCACAGTTGCCGTGGTTTGCACTCAACGGACGCTCCCTGTGCCCAAGCTGGACTTGCAAGCTCTGAGGACCATCCAACATCGAATCTTGAAGCCTTCAAAAACAAGTTCCCCTCCTCAATCTCCAGAACTGAACGCCCTAACCCTGCCCGAAGTGCTGGATTGTCAAACTGCCCTTGCAGGGTGCCTGCAAAGCGGACTCTGAGCGCTCGAGTGCCCAAGCTGCCTGGATTCTTCTAATTTTTGCCGTAGTGCGAATCTACACTACTCAAGGCTTCATTGCTCGTCTTGTTGCTAACATTTTGCTCCTCTTCTGCCTACTTGTGTCGGCTCTATTTTCTTCACTGTCCTCCAAGGAGCTGTCGGTTGCGGGCTGCCGGACTGCAAGGCTTGAGACTAGCAATGCGGCTGCATCCCAGGCTGGCAAACTCTGAATGCTCAGCCCTGATAGGATCTTAAGCAGAGGGCAACCCAGCATTGAGTCCAAACCCCAGCTGCCCGACTGAACAAATTAGCTCCATAAACTGCTTGGCCGCATCTACAAACCCACACACCCCACAACATGCACAGCGTGAAAAATAGTGGGTTCCGCCAAATACCAGTCAAGAGATCTCGAAGCCTGCGAAAAACACATCAAATAAACCCTGAGCGCTAAACCCCTGAATGCATCCCCGTGTTTGCAGCCTCTTGCGCCTTGGCAATCCCTGCGGCCTCGTGTGCCTCGCAGGCGGTGGATTCCCGAATGCGGTTTTGAATGTCAGCTTTTGGCTTAGGCCTATGACTTGAGGTTAATTCAAGTATGAGACGAGGGCTCAGGCTTTCAGGTTTAATGCGCGCGGCCGTTTGTGCTTGGAACCTTAGGGGTTTAAGCCTTCAAGGACCAGGGAATCTAGGGTCGCGGACTTCGGGTTCAGGGCTTAAGGTCAATAACGGTCTTGGTGGTACAGGCCGTAGGTCGACGCGGATTAGGGTTGAGAAAGCTGCGTGCGATTTCTCCAACTTTAATCAAATGTCGATGGTTGATCTGAGAGCTGCTGCGGTGATGGTATCAAAACAAGCTTTTCGTAGTTGCCCGGAGCCACTGTGATACACTTTGTTGGAACGGGACTGCGCGTCAAGGTATGTATTCCAAGCAACGTTTCACTCTCAGCAGGCGCAGCGAGGAAAACATCAAATGCGTTGCTTCGCAACATTGGATGTTGTTGGGATTGAAACACGGGCTCGAGTGGCTACTAAATTCAGCCTCAACTGCAGGCGGGCCTGCTCTTCAAGAAGCTGATGCTTCTTCTGCTCGCAGCTGCGGCCTAGAGCCAGGCTTCCGAACTTCCGTCACAGCCGAGAGGATCCGTGAGGCCTCATGCGCAAACCTGAAATCTAAGCTAACCAATGTCTACATGATTATGACGAAAACCCGACAAAATTGCGCCATCTCCCTTCAGTGTATAGTATGACCTTGAACCCATGCGGCTCGAAGGCAATTATGGCCGTTCTGGTAGTACGCGGTACTGCGAACACTGGGAAGGACGACCATTAGTGCGGCAGCTCAAAAGCGTGTTGGAAGGGGCCGGGAAACGTGGGAGTTTCTTAAGTTAAGATAAAAGGCCTCAAACCCGGAGCACATGCCACAGGGCCATGGTTTGGGGATCCCATTTTGCCTTCTTGCCTTCTTCTGAGATACGCAAGTTCAACCCAAGGTTCCAAGAACGCCGAAGCTCCCGAACTCCGAAATCTGTACTCTTCTGTCCAAAGCCGCACTTTGCGTCTCGAAGTCAGACCAGAGGGCCCAGCACTCGTCCTGCAGCTTGACTTTCTGCCTTGGCCATGGACCTACTGTAATACGCGCTGTTCGTTGCAAGATGCTCGCAGTCGCGGGGTTTAAGGGTGTTCCAAATTGGCATCGTCTGGCTGCCTGATTCTTTCTTCTCGGGTGGCTTATCATTTTGGGGTTGGCATCGATGTTTGAAGGCTTGCTGAGAACCTTCTCGTCGTCATTCCGCTTGAGCATCCGAACCCGACAGGCCAACCGTACACAATGACCTCCATGCGGGAACTGACTTCTTGAGCTATGCATCACCAGAGCTGCTGCTTCATCATTACCACCTCCACCACCAGCAACGTCACGGACTCCTGATCCATTTCTGGAGCCCAGACCAAAACCAGTTCCAGCACGGAAGGTCTGAGGGGGTTGCTGGAGACGAAGCTCCTGTTTCAGAGCCTGCATCGAGTCATTGCTTTCTGATTGCTGAGATCCTGGGTCAAGGGACGTCAAGCACCTATCAGACCTATCATGTTGGAGGGAGAGAATTCACAGGCTTTGAGTTCTCAATGCTCTGGTTCCTGGATTTCGACGGTGAGGGGGTCTGGACCTTGTGGACCTGTGCGCATCGTGCATCTCCCCAACCGGCTTGCTGTCCACGTCTGATATGTATTTGAATCCTTCATCGTTCAGTTCATGAAGCCTTTCCTTCAACATGAGACACTTAACCTTTCTATGCCTTGGGCTACCAAGTTGGTGGCCTCGTCCCGCTGCGCTGCCTGACAATGCGAGGACGCCGGAGCATCTCTACAAAATGCAAGAAAGCAAGGCACTAAGCGAGCAGGGTCCGCCTGCGCTAAGGCCGCTTCCGCCTCTGCTCTCTTCTGCTCTGCCTCATACAAGCTTTGCACAGGAACATGGGCCTGGCAAGCCCCCCAAGTGTCGGAGTACAGTTGTCGGGCATCCGAAGATCCTTCTGATGAACTAGACAACTTGACGTCGCAGGCGTCAAGTGACACTGTCTGTGCTAGTGCTGGGTGAAGACGCCCAAGAGCACGCAACAGACTCTACGGCTCTCCGGGCCAGATCAAGCAAAAGGAAGAAATGTGATAACTCAAAGCAAGAATCGTGTTGTTTCGGTTTTTAGCCAAGGCGGGCTTTCCCAATGGGGGTTCTGTACCGATCTCCGTTTGGGTCCTGCTTCTAGTCAGTCCTTAGTCCTACAAGCCACCTTGAGGGGACTCAGTAGTTCGAGTGACGCCTCAGAAATTCAGCAACAGGAACGGCAGAATCACTGGGATGCAGGCAACCCCTCGCGCAAGCCGGGTCGCCTCCTGTTTAGGGATTTCGGATGCAATGTGCGTCTTGGGGTTACCACCGACTTGAGGGATGCTTTTCTTCAACACACCTTTTACTCTTTTACCATGCTTTTCGAAGGGAAGACTGCATGCCCCCGCTGTATTGACTCTGATTTCGTCGGTCGGCCCGGATGCTGGCATACCGTACGTACTATCAAACTCAAACATGGACAGACGAATGCCTGTTGCAAACCCGGAAAAATAATCGTACGCCATAAACCCTCCCCACGTCTCGTCTCCCGTCCTCCACGCGCTGGAGGCGGCTTGTGCCGGCTTGGAGCTCTGCCTGCATCTGCTGCACTTCGGCCTATCGGAGTCAGAGTGATGTGGGGGGGTTTGGGGTTGTAGGGTTCAGCATATTGTTCAAGGCTTTGGGCTTTTCTACAGAGTTCATGGTGATCCGGTTTAAAGCTTATTATGGCTATGGTATGTCAGGTGGAGATTTTGGGTTGCAGTGACAGGGTTGAGGGTGTCGTTGCTATAGCGATTGCTGCACTTACTGATCTTACCGCTGTTGCCATGGGCTGTGGTACCCGCATTGCGATGGTCTCAACTCGAGGAGCGCCCCTTAGTGTTTATTGATCCCAGCAGCCTGCTGAGCAAGTCTCGAGCCCCAACACCACGGACCGTCTACCTTCGACTCTTAAGCGAACGTGCACCATAACCGCCCGTAATATCCAGTGCTATTAGCCACCAAAGCCTGCTTTCACCCAGCAACACTCTGAAACGCACCGGAGAAGTACCTAGAGCCTCAAGCGCAACCTGCCCCAAAACCACCTCTTGAAGCTACTGTGTTGGGTTTGCGGGTCAGAGGCCTGGCGGTTAGGGCTTTCCGGGTTCTGCAATGTACACTGCCCTTGAGGAGTTTAAGGTTCCGAAGGACCCCCGGACAAAGAGGCCTGAACTGGGACACCTTTCTAGAATCGCATGAACGACGTGATGAAACCCGGGGCAAGGAAGACCCCAAGGCTTGCAAAGCGAGAAAGTACCTCCAAACCGCGCCGGCGCGCATTTAAAGCTGCAAGCTGGTAATTCCGGGCCGAAATGCCTACACAAGAGAACCTCGAAGGGCAGCCTTGAGTGCTTCACTCTCCGTCGCGAGCTGCTGGGTTTCCTCTCAGCAAGATCTGGGATGATTTCGGGCTTCAGTCGTTTCAGCGTCGCTTCAGAATCTTTAAGGTTGAAGGCTTGCAGCTTCTAGGGTTTAGGGGGGGGTCCTTGTGTACATGCACTAGGCACCAGTTGTTGCCTCATATCCCGAGTATTCTGCAAGTACCGGTCCTCAGCCAGCACAGCATGCTTGGAGCCTTTGGCGAGTGCAGCTTCGCATTAGGGGGATATGGGTATCGAGTTGATGGAAGGCTTCCTGCATAATCCTTGTGTCTTTGGCATTGTCTCTTTTGTACAAACAAACTGCATTCACTGTCGATGCTCGTTGTCGTAATAGTGCGCTGGCCCAATGATGGCAGTCCGCATCGATTGCCGGAGTGCAAAACAAAAGGTGTGCTGTGATGGGCATCTGTGGCCAAACCGCATGACTTTCCGAATGACAAGAAGTGGCAGCATCTGGCCGGATAGATTCCACAGCCAGTTCCAGACCCTCTTCTCAGGGCATGGCTGAGGCTCTTGATGCTGGCCTCTCGCGAGTTGTGATGCTTCTAGCTGGGCACAGAAAATCTGAAAATTTTCTAATTCTCGGCTTGACTAGGCGTGAATCGGAAAAGCTAACTCTATGCAAGAGTTGGGGACGGCGCCCCTGTGTCTAGATCCGCTAACTTCGGTCCCCGTGCAGATGGTCAGTCTGGTGTAGCTCTTGGCCTTCGGATCTGCCAGAAAGGTCTCAAGAAATCCTTGGAGTTTCGTAGCCCGCAATAGAAAGCAGGAACCTAAGACCATGACTTCGCCAGCCCTCGCTCTCTTAAGCTCACAGCCCTCAGCAGCACCCTGTGAATTAAAGCCACATATCCTCAGAGTTGCACCAGGAATCAACTCAGGGGCTGCGGGTACCCATTTCCGGGTTGGCCTCTGCCGCAAGCCCTGCAAAGGTTCTGAGTTCCAGAGCTTTTCGCTACCGGGATTCACGATGGACGGCTATGGCTTCAGATCAGGTAACGCTCCATAAACTAAAGGGGGCAGAGTACCAACTTATTCTGAATTAGCAAACGGGACAAGCATTCCTAAGCCTTGCTCTGCTCTGCCATGGAATCCAGGCTGCCTCGAATGAGTCCGACAATTAGTCGGACCGAAGACGGCGGTTGGAGGCCTTCACAAAGGGCCCCTTCAGGGAAGTGAGACGATGACTGAGCCCAGGCTGCCGCGGCATTGTCGCACTTTCGCGACGCACGCAGCACGTGGATCATTCCTTCCCCTTGGAGGGACTGGCGATAAAAGGCGACAGTAATCCTGCCACGTAAGTGTGGGCGGCAACCTCTGCACTCTCCTCTTGGCTGTCTAGGCTGCATTTCTCATACTTCTCTTTGGGTTCACTGCCGACCTCCTCTTCGTGCTTCTCGCTCTCGACAGCTTCGCTACACTCGTCCTTGTCTCTCCCCCTCGGCCTCTCCGCGGCCAGAAGCTGAGCCATGTCCTCATCCTTCGCATAATCAAAAGGTATGTAACCCGTTTCGTCTTCTATGTCTTTGCTGGCCCCGGCCTCGACAAGTACGCGAGCGACTGGCAAAAAGTTGTGAATGGATGCGCAATGTAGAGCAGTGTAGCCACCGCATTTGTCCACGCGGTCCAGGCCCACAAGTCCTATTCTGTCAACCACAGCTTGCACTAGCAATCGCACGACCTCCAAATGGCCAAAGGAACAGGCCGTGTTCAATGGTGTCTGTCCATCCTCGTTCACTTGGTCGAGTGCAACCTTTGCATGCAAGAGGCAGCGCACAACTTCCACAGAGTCGTCCACAGTCGCACTGGCAAGCGCAGTGGTCCCCATGATCTCTGTATCAGGGTCAGCACCAGCCTGCACCAGCAAGCGAACAACTTCCGAGTGCGTGCTTTGGGCTGCCAGGAAGAGCGCAGTGAAGCCGTTGGCATCAAAACGGTTTGCATCTGCCTTGGAGGTCAATAACATCTGTACGATTTCTTGATGACCTTCACCAGATGCAACTACAAGAGCCGTCGCGCCGTCCTCAGTTGCAGCATTCGGGTCAACCCTCGCCTCCAAGAGCAATCCAACAACCTCCAGGTTGCCCTCACAGCATTCGCTGTAGAGCAACTCGTTTCCTTGAGGACCTGGACCGGTACCAGCACCAGCCTGCACCAGCAGGCGCGCAATATTGACCCGCCCTTCTTGAAGGGCACCGACCAAAGGAGTGCAGTCATTGCTGTCGGCCTTGTTTAAATCTGCTCTAGCGGCCAGCAGCCAGCGAACCATGTCCTCCCCACCTTCGCGAGACACGGCAAGTAGGGGTGTGACGCCATCATGGTCGGCCATGTCCATGTCAGCACGAGCTTCCAAGAGCAACTGCGCAATGTCAGTGTAGCCATCTTGCGATGCCTGCATCAGAGCTGTTTTGCCATCGTCAGTTGTTGCATTTGGGTCCATGGACCGCTGCAAGATTTTTGCCACTTCCTCGACAGAGCCATCGCAAGGGGAATAAACGAGCTCCTTGATCTCGGCTTCCGACGCAGCGCAAAAGGTCACTAAGACCAGAAGCACACTCTCCAGTGACACGTCGAGGCACACATCTTCCTCCAAAGCAGTGCCTTCGTGCAGAATCTTCTGCCGAAAACGCGGAACACCGCAGATCTTCTGCAATTCTTTTTTCAAATTCCGGACACTGCTTAGACCAGCTGCAGGAATGGCGGCCATTTCCTCACCGGATGATGTCAGAACATGAAGCATGCTCGGGCAGTGGATCTAGTGCCGATGCCGATTCTTGAGCTCCGGGCTGCAAATCGCAAGTCACTTCACAGCTCCACTTTGGGGCCCGTGCAGCACAATATGACACCCACGTGCGTGATAGTAACACTGCCGGATTCCCAATCTGCCCCCGAAACCCAATTGCACACCACTACCTGTCCTTGACTTATCTAGCCACGACGACCCAACCGTCTTCAGCATCATCGGAGTTTAGCATTCGTGGCGGCAGTCGATCAAGTGGTTTTAGAGTCGCGTCGGGAATGCCGTGCGCTTCGTGTTCGTTGCACTGTGAATAGCACAGCCTCAGTGCTATCATCACTGTTCATTCCTGTTACAACTCGTGCTAGCTGATGACTAGTTTTGGCAGAATCGTCATGATAAGTACTGTTACAGTAGCTGCACCAATAATGGCAATATCCTGAAAATTATACTGGTTTTCCAGTTTACGTGTTTCTATCTTACCATCATGGCTTTAGTATTGTCAGTACTATGACGGTCAAAGTAACACTATGTCATTGTTACACAGGCCGTCAAGCAAACTCCGGCCTGAGAGACTTGCCGCACCCTTCTGGAAAGTACGGACCTGGCATGCTCAAGGACATCGCATCTTCTCCGTGAGGAGCAGGGCTGTTTCCAGAGGCTTAGCAACTTCAAGTGAGGTGCTTGAGGAGCTTGCATGTAATGATGCCAGCTTTCTGTGCAAGCAGCACGGTGCCCTAGCCACACAGAAGTTCCCATTCTAGGGGTTTACTCCTGAATCGTCGGGTTAAATCAAAAGTGCAGAACTTGCCTCTGCGACAGCGCCGTGTCTTGACCCTGTGCGTCCTAGGAACCTCCGAAATCTCAACTGCTGATGATGCCCTTGTCAAAAAGCCAAGGTAATGCAAGTACCGTTGCAAACCTGCGTGAGACTGCGTGTGTGCGTGCATGTGCATGCGCATGGGCGTGTGGGCGTGCGGGCGGGTGTGCCTCCTGTGAGCCAAGGATGTTTGCATGTTTTTTTCAGCAACTGCTTAGCCGCATGTGTCAGCAAGGGGGCAGTGAACCTTGTATCATCCACTTCCCAACGACGACGGTGATTTCGTTGATGCATCTAGCAGGTGAGAAGGACACATTACTCGGATTTGAGATCTGCACAAATATGTGTGCGCGCGCGCGTCTGCATGTGTGTGTGTGTGAAACCTTGATGCCTACGCCGCTTGTTTATGAAGGAAGAGAGTTTGCCGACGAAATATGTGAGGCAGAACGCGCATCCCATAACAAATTATGGGCAAAAAGGAGCTCGTAACAATACACTCATGCACACTACACACTACACTACAAACACACACACACGCACACACACACACACAGACACACTCACTCTCTCTCTCTCTCTCTTTCTTTTTCTTTCGTTAGGGCTATGGACTAGGGGAGCTCCCCTAGCCCGCGCGCTGTCGCGCCCCCAACCGTTTTGGAGGGACTACACCACCGAGGCATCGGGAATCCGGCAGGGGAAAAACCCCTCCACAAAGGAAATTTAAGCAAACGAAGATGAAATAGTATGTATGGAAGGAAACAAGTAACCTAGAAAAGGAGGGCACAGTGCAGTTTTGGGTTGTTCCCCAGGTGGTGTTTACAAAGGTGCAGTGTGTAGCTCCGCCTTCCCCCCGAAATGTCTCAAACAGGAAACCCCCGAGTCCTCAGACCAGCAATCCGAACCAACTGAAGACAAGGAAACCCGAAGGGAAGCCATGTGTGGGTAGATCCCACGTTCCACTGCACAAAGCAAAATCTGGACATGTACTGGCCACTGAATTATGAAAGGTATGGTTCCAAGCTGTACTTTGAAGCCCCAGAGTGGGGGCATGGCAAATAGGTAGGGGTTGGCTCCGGCGGCCCGTCTTAGAATAACGCAAAAGTTGCGCAATAGGGGTTGCCCCCGGCGGTGTTGAAAGTAAAAGGAGGAATTGCACTCAGTTGAGCAAATGGAGCGAAGCATGCATGCCAGTACATAAAACAGAGCAGCTAAGACTTTCTCTCATATTGAGGGTTAATCTCGCTCACTTCCAGGCTCACTTCTTGTAAAGGTCAGTGTACTCGACAGTGCTTCTCCGCGTGCCTTGGCTTGTCTTTCGTCCACGTGCTTGGGGTGTAGAGTTCGGAACAACGACACGGGCTTCTGGGCGAGAAGGCTTGTCCCCCTTTGTCGGACATGTTGCTCCCCACCAAGGAGAGAGAGAGGCGTAGGGTGAAGATATGCTTCCCGTTGCACAACCTTCTCAAGGTTTATGACCCGATGAGGACAAAGGGAATCGCACCCGGGCGGCACACAGTAAAGTGCTTGGAGTAGTGGGCGAACAAGCCGTTGGGGAGCGTTGCACACCGAAGTCCCCCTTAGTAGCGTGGAATCCGAGGAGGAGGTAGTGCGAACTTAACGAGGTTGGTGTACAGCAATGGCGGCGCACGAAGCCCTAACAGGAGGAGCGACTTGAAGATAGATGCGGCGGGTATGTGACTCAAGCACTGCTGGAGCAAACGACGGAAGCTCTCCCAAGGGAGAACACCCCCTGCGCCAACCCCGCGTCTCCCCCTCGATGCAAGGGGGGGCAACAGTCCAGCACTTGAGCCATAAAGCGGCTACGGAGACCTCTCTCTTCTTCAGCACAGCCAAAGAGGGAGGCCGTCCCCCCTCCCGCGCGCGAACGCGCACTGGGTTCTTGTCTGTTGTGAGAACTTGCTCCCCGATGAGGCCGATGTGTAAGAGCTCGCGACCCCCATGGGTCTCCTCCCTCCCTCTCTCTCTCTCTCTCTCTCTCTCTCTCTCTCTCTCTCTCTTTCGACAGGGTTAGGGACAGGGGTTGCCCCCTGCCCGCGCGCCGTCGGCGCCCCCGAACGTTGCGGAGGGCAGCTTGGGAAAATAAAAGCTCTCTCTCTCTCTCTCTCGCTTCCGTCTGGGCAGGGACTCCACCTCTCTCTCTCCCTGTCCTGTGCGCTGCAACCTCAGTCCAAGCTGATGGGTGCCTCAATCTGGAGAGGCTGAGAGGACTGAGGGAACCACCCCGCCATTGTTCTGTCTGGTGGACTGTCATTGTTATACTCACTATTATGGTTACGACAGGGGGTTCCTATGATGGCTACTGGTATGCCTTATGGTTATTAGTCTCACACCACACTCCTTGTCCGAATTGAACTGGATTGTCTTCTCGTACTCCGTCCTGCAGACTCGCAGGACAGCGGAAGCTGCAACCATCTTGGCAGTAACATTCATCCCCCCCTCGCCTTCTCAACCCAGCTTTGTAGCCCTGTGCTGGGTCCTGTTCTGATCATAAAAAAGTTTTTGCTCCTGCCCGATGGACTCGCCAACTCTTGTCTTCTTGATGTACCTGGGCGCAGGATACAGGGCCTTGACCTCACCCGGCATAACTTGATGCGGTACGTACGCAAAGCCAGCCTGCTGGCAGCGTTCGGAACCCAGCAGCTATACCCTGTCGACCCTAAACCCGCCAACAACAACTCCTAACTACTACACCCTTAGCCCCAAACCCAGACACCCGAAACTATTCAGCCTTAACACCCTTAACCCGAAAGCCTGAACAAAAGCATCCTGCATCCAACTTGCAGGATGTGGTCGAGATCGAGGAAGAGCTCCTGCTCCACAGCTTCCGCATAGCGATCGTACGCGCCGTGGTCAGGGAAGAGGACGTACACATTGTTCTTGCCTTCCAGGTTTAGGGTTAAGGGTTTAGGGTTTATAGGCATTCGAAAAGGCTGACTTTTGTGGAAAGGGTTTCGGTTGTGGCGAGGATCCACAAGGAATCGAATATTACAAAGCTTCCGCGTCGGCATTGCTGACCCTTATGAGCGACTAAGACAGATGTTCCATATCTGGCCCTACACACGTGCTTTTCAAAGCAAGAAATCAATAACAAGGCTCCGGGTGAGATTGTAAATGACGGACGGACGGTCTACAGAGGCATTCCTTTCGGCGACTTCGACATTCAGCCCGTGCCCGGCCTGGATATGTGGGCTTGGCCTTGTACTTCTTCAAGAAGTAGGGGACAAATCGCTCCATCCTGACATACCCATGCACAGGAGGCGAGGGACAGGAACGGAGGCTAACTTCCCTTTTCCCGTGCCATCGAAGCCCAAGCCCCAAGCTGAAGAAAGCTTGCGGAACGATTCGTGTACTGCCCCGGCTGATCTGTACCAATTTCCGCGCAGGCCTGATGGTAGCACCGAGGTCGCTAACCGACCGCGCCACAGGCGCTTCCTGGAGTCGGGGGGTTTGGGGGGAACCTTTGAAGCTTCAGGGAGACTTGGGCTCGAAAACAAGCTGACTTGCTGGAGTTGGAGCCTTTCAGGCCCGTTGTCCAACTGGGATCTTTCGTTTCTTAGGGCCCTATATACGGCCCTAAACCCTAAACCCTCATCGTAGCCCTTGTAGAACCCTCTAACGATCCCTGTAAAGGAACCCTATAAGGCCCTATACCCACAAGGATGGGCTCTTTAGGAGGGGGATCCTCGTGAAGCTCCACGAAGAGCAGCTCCAAGGGCGGGCGCCTGGGCGCTGAGTTTCCGGTGCTTAGCGATGCAGGCCGCATCACCAGAGGAGGATCACCTCTTTCCATCTCTCTCTCTCTCTCTCTCTCTCTCTCTCTCTCTCTCTCTCATATATATATATATATATAATTTTCAAGTTTAATTATCATCGAATAAGCTCATAGAACAAACTATAAATAAGCCACAATATACTCCTGGAGAAGGGCGCTTGTCGCAGAGAGCTCCAAGGCGCCGGCCACAGAGGGTTCAGCGGCCTCGGATTTCGGGCGCTCGGGGGCGAAAGGCTACTTTTAATGGGCCAAAGCAGGGACAACACCTTTAGGAATTAGGGTCAAGTTTAGGGTTGTTCTTTAGGGTTTAGGGTTTAGGGTTAGTAGGGTTGTTATTTAAACAGAAAATCTAAATCCTAAACCCTGAAGCTAGTGACGCCGTGGCCAAGTTGCATTCCGTCCATGGAGCTGTTCGGCCCGGGCAGCGGAGGGACAGATCCAGGAGTCGCAAGAAGACGTGCCATGTACCTTACGGCCCGCTTGCAGCACCCGAGCGGGACCGTGCCAGCCTTCAAGCTGAGGATTTTCACTCTTTTGCACTCCGAACTCCGTCGGAGCTGTGCCCCCTCGCGCCCGGATCGCTAGCCAAGTTGCAGGGCATTGGGCACATCCAGCCATGCTCCCTGGCGCGCGGGCATGTGGAATGGACATCCGCAAGCTTCCTGTTGACTCTGGGATCTTCTACTGGGATAGTCTAAACAAGCATGGGCTGCGGAACTGTGCATTGCAAGTGTCAAGTCTGTTGGGCAGAAACTCGGCCCCGAACTTCCGGGTTGCTGTTTATCCACTTCCCGGCGTCATCCAGATGCCATCTGCTGGTTCTCTCCATCCTGAGCTGTTCTACGGTTCTACCTGCTACCACATTGGCAGACAACTGCTAAAACGAGCCCCATGTCGGTGTCGCTGCCGATAACCGGGTTGGACATGATGTGCCTCCCCAGGCTTCTCTTCGGAGCCAAGCATCTGGCATGGTCTGTACCACCTTAGTATTGAGCGATCTCGCAGTCACCCGCAGAAGACTTACGGCCAGGAAAGCATGGAGGGGTTCCCAGGCTGGTCAGCTGCAACCAGGCGCTCCGTGGACTTTTGATACGGATGACCAGACATGTTCCTGCATTGCATCTGCGGCACGGTATGACCACAGTGATTTGCGAAGCTCGACCCCACGAGTAGGCACCAGCATTCACCTTGACGGTAGATTTGCCGCACTCCGCCGCACCACGCTTAAGGGCACAGTGACTTCATGGACTGGGCTCAAGGCATAGGTCTTCCACTTGGTTCCCTTGTCCTCGCCGTCCGGAACTGCAAAGCCCTGGAGGGCCTGCGCAGAGGGAGCTCTAGGCCTCTACAGTGCTCCAGGTGGCGTTTGCCAGGGGGGGCCTGAAGCAGCGAGAGCCTCAGAACTCCAGAGACTCCGGAGGCAAAAGCAGGAAATCCAGCGTTTAGGGGGTCCCGGCCCGGCCACATCCCTCGATCTTGGGCTTTTTTGGGGCCCCCGCTGCTCGAAGAACCGGGTCTGGTCGACGGTGTCGAAGAGGAAAACAATTTTTCGACCCACGACGCGCTTCCAATTGAACCTGGCAGCCAGCACGCAGAGCGGCTGCAGCCCTTTTCAAAACAGGGATAATCAGGCAGTTAAACATCCGCTGAGGGCACTTGACGTTCGGATCCTTCGATTTGAAGTACTCCAGATTGACGGTCGGACCTTTTGAAAGGACGCGTGCCGAAGAGCTGTGCTTAAGCTGAAGCCCTGCATTGCTAGAGACGCGCACCGGCCCACTCCGGGTACTCGTCTTCGCCTAATCTCTTGCGAACCTCAGTGCTGCAAGCTTAGGTGGCAAGTCTGCTTCAAGTAGTCGAGGTGATGCAAGGCAGCACTCCGGGCCTCTTTGGCCAAGGGCTCCAAGGCAGGACTCGCAATCACAACCTGCAGAAAGCGTGATAATGTGGGCAAAACAGCTCCGATCTTGTCCTAGTGCATATCTGCTGATCTTGACCACGCACACATGCACACGCACAAACCTCACACACACACACACAAATATACCGAGTTGGATGATGTGGCATGTGCAGAACTCATAGGGCGGCCACCACACATGAATGATCCAGGGTCCCGACAGGCTTTGTCCACGTGGCTGCAAGGCCGGCTTTCTTAGACCTCTGGTCCTTGCATCATACTGGACTCCCAAGACTACCCGGTGATTATAAACTGACTCTGCTAACACATGGGAAAGTTCTGGGCTTGTAGGGCTCCCAGGGTTGCGCAAGGCATGGGGTGAGATAAGAGCTGCCAATCTGCGGAATTCCATAACCCTTGTGAAATTCTGCGACACCACTTTCAAAGGCACTGCTCTCTATGCCTCCACGCTCTCTCTCGAGCCCCCCGGTCCTCAACCATCATGCCACTGTCAGGAGAGGCGCTCTTCATCTTAGGGATCTCAGGCCTCGGCGAGGTCGGGTTGCAAGACGGAGTTCCAGGTCTTCAAGCTTTTGGCCACTCCAAAAACCCTACGAACTTCAAGATTTGGAGCCTGGTATACCCCAACCCTAAACCCTAAACCTTAAAGAACCCTACAAGCAGAATCTTCGGAGCTTCTGCTACCTGCGATTTTCGTCCGAGGCTCGCCGGGCTCTCGCTCGCCGTTGCCTTCTCTTTCCCCTTCAGAGCCATGAAGAGGGCCTCGTAGTATATCGCAGTATCTCATGGTAGGCCACTGTGTAATGGTAGGTGCTTATTGTAGTATACTGTAGAATAATGTAACTAGGAAGTCTAGGTATATAAAACTGCAGAGCCAGGCGAGGGCGACCTTTCCTCAACACCTGAAGCCGAGACCGCACAAAAACAAAAAAAAAACAGGCCAGGACAGGGATGGCCATGAACCCCCCACAGGCCCGACATGTTCAATTCTCCAAATGTCAGATTCCGTCCGACGCAAGTCTCCTGCAAGATAGTAAAACCGCCTGAACTTTGCATCGGTCGGAGGTGGAGGCTCTGCTCGACGGCGACAGACCCGACACACAGGAAATAAGAGGAAACCATGCGGCCACACCCGTGGCGGCGCCGACCACCGCGCTGGCAGCCGCCGCGGCGCCGACCACGGCAGTGAGGGGCACATCTTTGTCCGGCATAGCCTGATGCACGCAACAAGACGATGAGAATGCAAGCTGCAAGAAGGCAAAGGAGCACGAATATCTGCGATGCATGATGGAACGAGCCGTTCCTTGGCAGTAAGTTCCCGGTGCCTGCACGACTCAGTCACGGCCCCGCCGTGCCCCTACCTGGCGCTACCTACACAAGCTACTCTCCTCTGCTTGATCCATCTATGCCAGCTCAGCATTCCACAGAGCTGATGACATCTGGCACAGCGTTCGCCGTAGAGTCCCTGTCCCTGCACAAAGCTGCAGGGTCCAAGGGCAAGGACCCCGAGCCGAGCCTCCATGGCTTCCTGTTGCCTGGCTTTGCAGTGCTCTGCGTCCCTGCGGGCAACTTCAATGTCCTTGCAAAAAAACGACAGAGCCAGCGAGATGGTGCCATGGGGTCACCCACCGGTTGAAGAAAGTTTTGCTGTCCTCCCGAATTTTGGCGGCAACGCGCTGCTGCCAGTCTTTCCACCTGCACAGCTGCTGCACCATGCCGGTTGTGCCCTGAGTACTTAACTGCGTGGAAGCCAGTGGAAGCTTGGTTGTCTTAGGGCGCGACATCTGCTCCACTTCCACTCCGAAACGCTCTTTACGAGCACGGATGTGGTTGATCGCCTGGCAGGCAACTTGCATACACACTGCAGTGTGAGACGCAGCACAAGCTTTCAGTGCCAGACGAGATGTGGCTGTTGCATGAGAATCGCATCCTAAACCCTAAAACCCTAAACCCTCCCGAAACCCCAAACTTGAAGTTCGTAATCCTCAGTCAACGCCTCGCCCTCGGCACGTCCACTGCACAATTTAGTGGCCTCCGGCAGTCTGGGTATGGGCCATCATGGGCCCTTCAAGTCAAAAGTTTATGGGCTTTGGGGTCATTCGTGAGGTTTGGGGGTTTTTAAACTGGACTGTGAGCCTTCGGGTGTTTGTCTGATTTGGGTTTTGTGGATTGCTTTGTTCGTGTCTGGGACTTGGGGGACAGGGGGGAGATAGTCAATCGGAAGCGTCCCCAGGCCTGCTGCTATGCTACTTCGCAACGCAAGTCCTAGATGACCGCAGGCTTGTCTTTTCCCAGGTCCAACGTAGTCCGTTCTTGTCTGTGCAGTGCTACGCAGAGGGGACTGCACACGACAAGGCACCTGAGCAGTTATACTACCATGCTCTATCCAGCAAGCTGGTGTAACTGCGATCGCGGAAAACACACACACACAGAGACAGACAGAGCGAGGTAAAAACCAGCTTTTGTGAACTGCACTGTCATTGTCGTCACCATCAATCACTGTCATCATCAGCAGCAGCGTCGTCATCATCATGATTGCATGTGGTCACCGTCATCCTTATCGTCATCTTTAATTTAACGTCGTCATCATCAGCATCGTGTTCCTCAACAGGTCATGCAAAAAACGAATGATGCTGATCATGATATATGATGATAGTGATCCGTGCTATGCCGCACCCCCACAGCTGCAGTTTCCTACATATTCGCCACTCACGAAACAGGGACCCCCATGCCTCCGTGCGTATCACCAGGTTGCGCTCTTTGGTGACACTCTGCTGCTTTCCCTGCGATCCGGCTTCATGACATGTGAACACGGATGCCTTTGCAAAACACAAAACGGGTATGGGATGAAAGGTAGCCTCAACCCGGAGACGCCGGTCAAGGATGTCGGCATAAGCTTTCTGCCTCTGCTGGTTCACCTGGCATCATGGTAGGCTCGCTAGTGACTGTTGCACCACTCTGAAGTTTCTGAACTTCTTGCATGTCACTTTCGGATATTCTGTATCTTGCTAGCCCAGGTGCTTGTCCTGCTTCTAGTATGGAGCAACCTTTTTCGTTTGGTCTGCTGGTTCCAAATCAAAGACATGGAAGAGGACCAGCTTCCGGTTCTCCATGTCCTCCAGGCACTGCCATTGCTTGCCCTGGCAAGATGCTGCAACTTCAATTCTGCATGCTACAGTAAGTGATTCTCCGACTATAGCTCCTATAGTTGACGTGAATGTCTGAGCATCCGATTCTGCTCCCGACATGCCGGAAGTCTGCCCCCAAATGTGTCGTCCACCCGACATGGACTAAGGCGAGGCCTGTACCTTCGAGTGCTTGCGGGTCGCAGGACATAGGGAAGAAGACTTCGTGACAAAGGAAGCTCACGAAATAAGTCAACCATAGCTGCACCAAGAGCAACGACTGCAAACTCCAGTGAGCCTTCAGCAAAACCAAAGTACCAAAGTGGTTAACGTACTACGTCTTACTACGTACGCTTTGGCGAGGCCTATGCTAAAGCCGGTTATTAGCACGAGACCGCAGGGAAAAATGGATGAACAGCAGTTGGGAAGCGGAGCAACCTCATTCTGCCTTGTGCATTCCGGCAGAGGACGAGAGCTTGCACAAGAGCCGAGCAGATGGGTAGTTCTCTAAATTAGGGTCCCTTTGCCACGCTCTACCATGCTATCATCTGATGCCCGCCTCAAGGACGTCTCTTTGTGCCTCCAGGCGCAAGAAGTCCGAGGCCAAGGCCTCCATCAGACGTCTATCTCTCTCATTCTCAAATACATAATATATAACAACAATAATGATAGTAATCATAATAAGAATAAGAATAATCATAATGATAATCATCATAATAATAATAGATACATAATATAAAACATATAGGGTGAATAGCTTGCAGGGGTTTGGTATTGAGGGCTTTAGGTTTTTTATGGTTTTGAGAGGATCTAGCGCGAGTGGTCAGAGTATGATGTGATCCTGGAATTGGAAAAATCTGAATGGAGCAAGCCCAAGGAGCCTCCCGAGTAAGACATAGCAAGTGCTGGTTTGTTGCATTATCCGTTGGTCTTGAGGTTCTTTCGTCTCCGATTGCGGGGATTGGCTGCATTCTGACACAAATGCTGCTATGATCACCCCCGAAATATCACCGTAGCGTCTGGTATATGAGTCAAAAACGATCATGGTTAGATCAGCAACTTCTGGATACTGAATGCATACTACAGTGTCTTACAACGTTGCTAAAACAAGCTATACAGTAAGCAGGCCTGTACGACTACAGGTTGCTCTGCTAAAGGCAACAGATCAGCAACGCGGCAATATCAAAAATCATGCTAGCAGCAAACATGACAATGATCAACGTGTAGGCACCCGGAAAGCGACGTGATCTTGGCATTCGCGCTCCTTCGCTGAGCCCTCTCACTTGCTCGCTGAGTTCTTGTCGCTGTTGTGTTGTAGGTCCTCCTGCTTCTGCTGCAGTTTTGTCTTTCTGCTGCCATTGCAACATATTGCAACCGAGCAAAACACAAACAACTCCCAAGCGTACCCGTATACCTACATCAAGAGCAGCATGCGGGGTTTGGCCAAGCATTGCCAAGCTCCGCCCCATAAGACCCAGATGCACCCTACCAACCCGTGACGATTCCCTACAAAGTAAGCCCTAACCCCTAGGTCCCAAGCCCTTAAACCCTAAATCCAAACCTTAAGATCCCCCCCGAAAGTCCGAAACCAAAGCCCGAAACCTAGCCGCTGGACCTGTCCGGCTGTGGCGCTGCGCAGCATCTGAGAAGCACGTGCCGCAGCCTGAACATGGTCAGACTTTGCCAGATCAATAGTATTCCTGCATATCTGTCTACGCACGTTTGACAGTAGGATTATTATATATTTCTGTTATTGCTATTAGTATTTCATTCTGTACACACATGCTATTTGCTCACTAGTTGTCTACCATACAACAACTGCATGTACTTACATATCAAATGTAAATATATAAACATCTGCATATACACATACACGCACGCCCGATCCAAGATATAGATTTTCCAGCAACGATGCACAGCTGCACCGGCCGATGGTGGTTTTGGTTTTCCGAATTGGTTGAAGAAACAAACAAAACTGGAGGCTGCAACGCTCGCTTGGCAGCTCCCCCCTGTTGCCGGAACGATCAAGTTAAAAAGTCATGATGGCACGTGCCACTGCCCCAATGGCTGCAGGGATCCTCCGCGGATCTGGAGGGCGCCGAATGCAGGCTCGCACTGTCAACAAGTGCGGGAATTGCCAGCTGCATTCTTCACCGCATAACTCCCGCAATGCTAGAGTACGCCCGGACAACTATTCCTATCACCAGGTGTTGCCGCCGCGGCAGTATCTGGGTCATATTTCGCATTTTCGCCGATTAGTACCGCCATGACCTGGTAAGCAGCAAGAACTTCCGACTGCGCAACAGGCCAAACCTTCCAACCTGGTGCCGGTCTCCGGAGCAGGTGCATTTTGAAGTGCACCTGCTAGCTTCAAAGTTCCGACACTGCCCCAGACCTGCTCCAGGTCGCCGTCGTGGAGACGTTCCTCTTTTTTTGTAAAGTCCAGGTGGGATGCCCAAGAATGGAACCGTGGAGCTTCAGCAGGAAAAGCTCCCAGAGTAGCTGGGCCGCATCGGCCCAGCTGCTCTGGGAGCTTTTCCTGACTGAGGCGTGTGAGACTGCGCTGAGCCCTTCGATGAAGCGCTTCGAGATCAAGGCACACCACGCGGCAGCAGGCCAGAGGATGACCGCCAAACCGGTTAGGCCACATCAAAACGAGCATGACGATAGTATCGCTGGTTATTGAAGTTGGGCCCAACCAACTTCAAGGGATCGTGGGAAACCGGCCAGCGTATTCCATATCGTCGGTGTCAACACCACTACAAGTGACAGCAATCGCAATAGACAAGGTATCTGGACGAACGTAGTGCTCTGAATCACACCAAGCCCAGTGCGTGCAATTAAACAACTTTCCCACAAAGACCAGCCAGAGCATGTTTTCGGGACTTTCGGAGGCGATGCCATGGTCACAGCCCCAATACCCAACGAGGATCACCCAAAGCTCATGAACGAACCAAACTAAGACATCGAGACATCAGCCCTGCATGGGAGGCAGCCGCCCTGCTGTCTATATAATGCACACATTTAGACACATTGACATGATGTCTTGTTTATGAGCGTGCTCCAAGTTTTCCGGCACGCAACTACTGCTCTATGGCCCGATGATGCCTGCGAGGACTCGTTGGGCTGTTCGTAAACAGGGGAGTGGATTCAGGGAACGCTTGCAGATCGGGATGGGAGGATGGGAAGCCGTTTTCAATCTGGTAGGGCGAGTCCTGACGGAGTCTCTCAGCCGCGGGCTAAATGCAAGCAGATGTGACGCCGAGCTCCATAGCACCGAACAGAAGTCAGCCCGGCACAGGAGGGCTCGCTCTGTCGACTGAGACTGAAAGGCCGGATTTGACCCTTCCCTTTCTCTGTTGTCTGCTCGCTTCAACGGATCACCATCTCAGCCTTAATTAAGCTGAGCCAGAATGCACGGATTGGCTTGGACGAAGGCAGGCCACAGAACAGGCTTGCACTCTTGAACTGTGCAGACGGCTGACCAGTCCAACTGGAGGATGGTGGATGAAGGCAACGAGAACATCCGTGTCTCCGTATTTTTCTGAAGAGGAGGCCAATTCGTCAGTGCATGGTAGCGCCCTCACTGGTGGTGGGCGCAGGCGTGGTGCCCTGCAAAGCAAAGTGCCCCAACAGCGAGCTTGCAAGCTTGGATAGTGTAGCAGGTTCTCGAGCTGCATTGCAGCCGCTCTCTTTGGAACTACAGATACAATCATTACATCCTCACCAAGCTCCAGCAGACTTTGGCTTTCTGGTGCAATGCTCAATAGGGCTGTGACAGTGTTAACCATTGCAGTAGAGCTCACACACATTACATAGACTACATGTAAACACAGACCAATCTCGAGACAGTTTGCTGCAGCGCTAGCCTGCTTGGCAGGTGACCTGAGAGGCCTGTGCTCGAGATACATGCACCAGTTGGGAATCGGACACGCAAATATTTGCGAACTCCGTGCATTGAAACCTTGTCGGAAGCTTCACGTGCGCAGAATCGACCTGCTCTCATACCTCTGCGACTGAATTTGTTTTAAGCATCACATCGTGAAGCTTCATACATTGTACGTGAGCGGTGAGACGTGACAGGATCGTCTGCGACCTCCTGCGTGACATCTCTTAATTGAAATTCAAAATGCTTCGCACGCGCCGCTGGCTCAAGGGTAGGGCGATCCTGCCGCGAACAGCACTGAAAGACAAAGCCGGTAGGAATGGTCTTCTAACTGAAGCCGACATGTATCCCGGCAGCGGCAGCTCCGACATGACTTGGTAGCTTGAGTGTCTTGTGGCTTCCTCGATGACAAGGCATCCCGAACAGACTTCAGCCAAAACCATAAAACCCTTCTGCACGCAAGTGTCCTCATGGACACTCGACGCCCCATTCTTTGGCGATCGCCTCAATGGTATCCTTCTTGTTTTCCGCGGCACGCACCTTCCATTTTGCTCGGTACAGGTGACTGCGAAGCCATCACAGACAGAAGAGCCATGTCAATGTATAGAACCGAGACACTTTGTAGTTGCACCTTTCTTTTTTCTAGTTCTTCATGGTAGGCCATGAAACAGCTCTCCCTCTCACAGGTCGCACTACCCCATCCTGCCCGAAGCGGAAACACCAGTTGACCAAGTGAATGCATCTCCCTCTCTCTCTCACTGTCTGACCGTCTGCGTGCATATTCTCGGATATATACAGGCAAGCACGCGCGAAACGGCACCCTCTGTCTGGGGACATCCTAGGCCCAACCTGTGGCCGCAAATCAAAACGTGACATGGGGCGCCTTCTCCTCGAAGGGCGACAGCGGATCCTGTGTTTGCAGGCATGTCGTGTCTCGTGCAGTAGCCTTCCCTTTTGCTTCCGAAGGAACTCCAGAAGCAAGACATGCGACCAGCTGGCTTGACATCGCTTCACTGCGCACAGCGCGAGCGCACAGATGCCGAAGCTTGAACATCACGGTTTCAGAATGCATAGGGCATAGGATATGAGAAGACATTGTCCCACCTGGTACCCTTCGCTGTCGAAGAAGTTGCCGACCTAGCGTTACGTGTTGAGTGCTGCCATAAGCAAAGGCCAGTCTTTGGATACCAGCAGAGCATTTCTAAGATAGGGGCCGTACTAATTAGAATAGGCTTTGGGGCATATTGTACTAGAATTACTAGAATTCTAGTAAAGAACCCCTACAAAATGATATAGGTAATCATCAAGGCCCCTTTTTTTGCCCTGACTTGGGGCCCCGACCATGGCACCCTTCCCCTGGACATACTCCTCGTCGAGCGCCTGGTGGCTTCCCGTTCGGTTTGGGTCTGGAGCCGTGGGTGGATGAGGAAGGTAGCTTTGAAACTTTAGTCGCATGCTACAACCCTAAACCCTATAAGCCCTATAAACCCTAATACCCTAAACAATAATCAGGGAACAAAGACAGTGCACACTTCAAGCCTCAAGCGGAGGACCTCTGCACCCGAAACCTTCAAGCCACACCCCTGCAGACCCAATGCTAACACTCAAAGCACGGCTATCGGCACCGGTACGGCATCCTAAACCCCCCCAGAGCCTCTCAAAACCCCCCCCCCCCCACCCCCGACCCTCACATCCATATCCGCTCGCCATGTAACCCCCCAACCCCTTGTCAGACCACAATAGAACTCGTGTTGTGTACGATCCCTTACAGGAGCCCTCTTAAAGACCCCAACACTCTCAAAGCTACCATACACCCTAGCAAGCAACCTTGAGGAAGTTCTTCGCCACGTTGTCGGGCACCGGCGCGGACGTCGGTGCCCGGGTCGCCTCATTCTCCTGGGAGACCTCTGCCTCGCACAGATGTGTTGAATCACTGTCACTTGTTCTGTTATGTTCATGGTTGTCTCTGGTTTCATAACTAGGCTATATATATATATATACACGACATATATCATGCCTATAATGGTGTGGGTAAGCTTGCCGAATTAAGGGGAAAACCCTAAACAGGTTTCTTCTAATTAAATACGGATCCTAATGCCAACGCCCCTTCTTCAGAAAGGGTTCATCGTCACCGTCATCAACTCATCAACATCGTCGTCCTCCTCCTCCTCATCATCATAGCGGTCGTTCCTGTTGCGAGTCGAAATCCTCAGCAGCGCACGGCCGTCCGCAGGGCTGCGTCGGCAGCATCGCTGGGGCCTGGCACACCAGCCCTTGAAGAAGTTTGAAAGTTTTGGTTCAACGCGCTTGCATTTGGGCACTCGCGTAGAAGGACTTCTGCAATTCAAGGTCAGTGCCATGAGATTGGAATGACCTCGACTCCATGATCGAATGGCGCAATAGCATCAGGACACCACCACTGACTGCTGCTCGGTTTGAGAGCACCATTCCTCCCGGTCAATGAAGGGAGCACCGAAGCTTAAAGCTGTCAAACTTCGTTATGACACATTCGGGCCCAAGGATGCCGACGGTTGTGTATCTTTGCTTTGGCTAGGAAGCACTGCTAGGCTTGCATGTCGCTGCTACAAAGCAGGGACGCAAACAAGGCATGGCTGACTGCCCCTGGCGGTGTTCGGTTGACCTTGAGTTCAGACAATACTCCGGGCTTCTGGGCCAGAGGGGTTACTCCATGAAAAGCCCGTGTTCAACAGGCACAAGCTCTGCAGAAAAGGAAGCAGACTCTGCTCCTTTTTAGCGGTGCGTTTGCATGCGACATGCAGAAATCCTGATTGCGATCAGGATGTCTACAGAGCGGTTTCATGAGACAGTTTTGGGTGATTACGCTGAAGGCGATCATGAATACTGCTACGGTAAGGATGTTGATGATGTCTACTGTTACTCTCCCTGTCTCTGAAAGTGTAGCTTTGGTGCAAACGTTTCTACGTCTCCTTCCTCCCTAGTTCATTGGTTAGTCCTACTCCTGCCTAATGTTTACTGCTGCCTGGCTCATCGCATGGCCGCGAGTTGATCATCGCAGGTCTGCAGTCGATGACGATGGTGTTGAAACTTGAGTGGTTGTTGCTGCCTCTACTGCTTTTGCCACCAGTACGACTACTTCTACTTCCGCTGCTACTGCTACTCGCATTGCTGCTGGTACAGCCCTCGGCTCGTAGGACGCATAAGGCGAAGGGCACGCCAGCATGACTGTTAGTACCACTGGCAACAGCAGCCAACGCAATTGGGTCATGACAAGCAGTTGCTCTTGCCAGTGTTGTGCCTACAGAATCAGTACTCCTACTCCATGGATTCAACCATGAGTACGGGGATCATAGTAACGGTGACCTTTAACTCTACACCCATCTTCTAATCAACCCACGGCACATTATATTTCTTGATAGATATCCGATACTCTATCTTCAACATGTTATATTTCCTTATAAATATCCGATAAACTAAATTCAACATGCTATATTTCATTCTATGCCTCACCTAGACCCTCCGCCTACCCTCTATAAGACCCTAGATCCCCATTTTTATGGGACCATTCATCCCTATTTGAGGGTAGTTGGAGGGTCCTGGGACCACCGGAGATCCCAGGGTCGCGGCTTGAAGGTCTCAGCAGCGGAGCCACCGAGACCAGGGCTGGGTGCCGCTCGAACCTGGAGTGTGTCTGTCTGTGTGTGTGTCTGTCTGTGTGTGTGTGTATGTACCGACCTACATGTAGCATACAATACCTCTGTCTGTCTATCTGTGCATATATATATACATACAATATATATGTGTATGTATATATATATATATGTGTGTGTATATATATATATGTAGACATGTTCTGTTTTATCATGCCTTATCAGACTGTATACGAGTATATTAGCTATGTTCGATTCAACAATACCACGATATAAGAAAATCCCATCATATCATATCAAGCTTTGGTTTAATTAATTATACTAGACAATACTATGCTATACTATACTGAATACTATACTCTACTCTACTAGACTAGACTAGACTATACCAGGACATATCTTAACATTTCAGCAATGACATACCATGTCATGCCATATGTGATGATATGATACGGTATGACCTGAGAGTATATGATGTGGCTTTTGTGTTACATTTTGTTGTGCCATATTTGGCAACGCATAGAGCAACGCATTGGCAAATGTTCTAGATCTTAGATATGCGTATGTAAACAGTCTAAGAACCCAATTGACTGGAACGCATGGGCAAGTGTTCTAGATTCTAGATATGCGTATGTAAACAGTCTAAGAACCCAATTGAATGGACAAATATACATGTACACAGGGACACAAACATAGTTAGGCAGCCTGTCTGGGCAAATGAGTACTGTACAGCAGTTGAACCAACAAGCGGTATATGCCAATGCATAAACTTAACTGTGCATACTACGTATAACACAGCAGGCACACCATGGAGGTGTAGGGCTGAGGGATCCATTCTGGGATGATTGGAGCTGCGGGGCGAATCTAGGGGCCTAAATAATTTCCAATACTATTTCAGGGGTTCCTCATTATAACTGTAGTATAAGGGCCCCCAAAACCCTATTCTAAGTATTCGGGCCCCTATTTATTAGGGGTTTCTAGGGTCGGGTCAACGGCTAGGGATCAGGTTGGGCCCCGTCCTTGGGGCAGCTGCTTGGGGTTCTGGCATGGGACACTTAGGGTTTATAAGGTTTAAGGTTTAGGGTACTTGCCGTGAAGGAGCTCAACACTTCAACGTAAGCCCCTGAACTAAATAGGCAGGCGGCCCTAGTGGTTTCGTTGAGGATCGGTGGGGTTCCGAGGGGTTACTACCGCCACCGGTTCGAACGGCATCATATAACTGCCGGAGCGAGCCAGACCTAACGAGGCAAGAGGGAGAAAGCAGGCCAAGCCGGACTTCACGCCATCAGCTCAACTCAATCTCTTCAGGTCGGCCCCTGATCCAAGACGCCTTTCGCCCTGAGTTTTCTCAAGTCTCTCGGAGCTGATCGGGCATAAGAAACACTTCGGACAGGCACCTCAGCTGAGGCTTTCTATGAAGCGCCTGAACTCTGACTCTTTCATCCTGATGCAGTGCTTTGCTGCAGGGTATGCGCCACGGCGCACGTCTTGACAGTATTGGCTCAATGCCTGCACGGCATCCGCCATAAGGTTCGCGTAGGTGATGGAGTGGCGGGGATAGTGTCCTGAGTTCGTGCCCATGAGATCCTCCGAGAAAATGAACTGGCCGTCGCAGTCAGGACCACTCCCCATCGAAAACACCAGCATTTTCGTGCGCTTGCTTATCTCTGCCGCCACCTGGGCAGGAACGCACTCCATCTCCACGGCTATGCAGCCAGCAGCCTCAGACAGGGCTGCGAGTCCGGTCAGCCACCTTGAGGAAATCGTAGTAGAATCTGCACACTACTAGTTACTAGTACTTCAAGTATCCTTCGGCTTAATTAGAAGTTTCTATTCGACGGCTGTCTTGGACGGGCCTCAAGGGCCATGACGTCTTCATAAACCTTCTTTGCCTCCTCTGCTGTCTTGCCAACTGCTCTTGGACCGCCAAGCCAGGTGTCATTCCTAAGGGGCATCGTCGAGTCGTTGAGGTGCTTGACATGATGCGTTTGAATGGCAACATACAGAAGCCATGACTGAAGATGATGGTGCATATCATTTCATTCATATGTTCATGGTGAATTAGAAGTAAACATCGGTGCTCCCAAACCAAGACTCACAGGAAGGTAGCCCACGTGGCCACAGCAAGGGAAGTGCTGCTTCGCCAGGCCCTGAAACTTCTCTGGTACAAGGCCTGAGCAGTAGATGATGTCAGTGCCAGCGGCCCGCATCTCATTCGCAAGCTTCAAGGCCTTTTCCTGGCTCTCCTTGTAGCTATCATGGACTTGACAAGACCATGGTCCAGAAAAAGCAAGCATCGTACGATCTCTCCATCTATCCATCTGTCTGTCTGCATTTACATATCAATCCCTCTCTCTCTCTCTCTCTATCTAGGGTCTGTCTTCGGGCCGCTCATCTTCTGTTCTAAACCCCATGTTACATGACAGCATTGGGGCTACCTGGAATCTCCAATGCCGAGCATCGTAAGCTCCCGGATTGATCCCAGTTCCAATGAGTGTGTTGGGCGCTCCTCGGCGGACAGCCTCAACGACGAACTTGCTGTGCTCCTGACAGCTGCCCCAGGCGACAATCATATCCACTCCAGCCTGCTCCGCTGCACGTGCAGTCCACTCGTCGAAAGCCGTGGTCAGCACAATCTGCCGCCTTCCCTTCAGTGCCAACAGCTCCGCGACTGTCAGCTTCTTCTTCGCCGCCTCGCATTCCACGGAGCTTGGGTGGCCCCAGCCCCATCGGCCATGGCCCCGGTGCAACGTGCCCTGAGTGCCCTGGCCAGGGTTCGACACCGGCTTCCTCGCACTGCAATGCAGTCCCACCAAGACGCCGGAGCCCAGGGCCGCGGCCGCGCTGCGCGAAGCCCAGCGGAAGCCGCGCATGATCCCGGCAGAGCCCCTGCTCGGATCCAACACGACCCTTCGAGCCACACAGAAGATGTGGTCGGAAAGCCTTCAGACATGTTCCGGAGCCGATGACTCTGAAGAAGTCTGTTGCCCTGCCCTGCATTGGGCGAATCTGCAGCAAGGCTCTGTGCCCGAAGCGTTAAAAAGATGTCAAAAGCAAACATGCCATCTTGGCCGCCGGCCTGTAAGATGCTGGCGGAAACGTGCTCTCGATGTGGCCGAACGCTTCATCCCAGTTCATCGCTGGGCAGGGCAGGGCTTAGGTTTGGAGGGTTTATCAGAAGAAGGGCGCTGGCACTGGCAACACGGGCACACAAAGGCACTGCCAACAGACAGGCCTGAAACCATCGGCAGAACCTGAGTGATCCCTGAACAAACCAATGCGGTTGCTCTTGGGACAGCACTGCTGGCGACATCGATGCTGTATCCGTTGAGCCTTGGAAGCATGACATGAGAAGCCTGGATGCCGTTTCTCCCCAAACTAAGCCTTACTAACAACCAGCCGACAAACACCTACAGTACCAAAAACACATCCCAGCAAGTTCCATGCTCCAACTGAAGAGGCAAGGCCTACCTAGCGAAATAAAGCTGCTGCCATGCCGTTGAGATACGTTCTCTCGCCCTTCTTCAAGGCTTCCACCATCTCGTCCCGACTGGGCTGCTTCCTCTCGATCAGGAGCGGCTCTCTACTTGGAGGTTCATGGG